TGTTTCTTTTTTTCCCTCTAATTCATCATGCAAGAATGATGAAATTGTATGCACAAGAGTTCTGTACCTGCCTTAAAAAAATGTACAGAAACACATGGGCTGCAATTCTAATCCCACCTCTATGCACTGCAGAAACGTATAGTCAGGCATACACAATTTCCTTCTGAATTCTCTGCTGTTGCTGAAAGTGAGTTTTGTTAAGCGTGCATGCTTCAGGATTTTGGTAGAGACTTTCTGTTAACTGACATCAAACAGTAGTATTCAAAGGTCTTCTTTCAGTACAATGCATTTTCTGAGCTATGAAATTTCCATTTCAAACTCACAAAATCATTTTTGCATCTTAAAAAGCAGTGGTATTGTTTTCCCTGTTTGACAGTTTGGCATGTGCTCATCCACCTGATAGGTAGTTACAGCCATTGGATATTTATGAATTCGGTCATGCGAACTGCCTCCAAGTATGCCCCATTCCCTACAGAGACTATAATGGCTATAACTGCCAGTTGAACACTTTTAAAAATACACCTTTTTCCTCCAAGTACCAATAACTTCATTCTGTTCTGCATTTTTTCATGTTGGAGGGCAGAGCGTGCTTACCATGCTTCTGAGCAGCATGGGATTTCCTATACATCACGGATGCCTCAGCACTTTTAGACACGGGGTCACTGACAGCTTTGACACTTTCACAGGTACCAGTAGCACAGACAAATGAAAAAACCAAGAGTGTCTACTACTTACTGTTACATGCTTCTGTAGATTACCCACAGACAACTCTCCACGGATTGAAGCACCACCAACCAGCTGTTTGGGAATGACTGCAGTGAAGCAGTCTTAGCCTTTTGCCACCTTCAGGCACCCCATGCTGAGGACAGGGCCATGGTGCAAGTGTGTGTGTGGGGAGAATGCTCCAGCCCTGCAGTGCTGCTGATGCTCTAGTTTATACTGAGACCAGCATATATGGTAGATGTTCTCCATCTTATTCCACTGGTGTATGACTTCTATGGAAATACATAGGAACAGAAGAGCTGCACAGAGCAGCAGAGCTCTATAATGCCATCATTTCCCACCTGTCTCAATATGCAATTGCACTGGGGCAGAAGGTTGATGATCCAGGCCCAGCTGTCCAATTTAAGCAAGACCAAGTCCCTTTCAGTATTCCCTTCCTCCCTGCCCAAATGCATTTTGGACTTAGCTCTGACAGTGTGTCATTATTTTCACTCCTCTCCCCTCCCCACTCCACATAAAAATTCATTTTGCATTTTGATAAAAAGAAATAAATAATTTTCACGTTAGGAAAAACTAAAAATTACTACAAGTAGAGGATAAATTTATGACATTATGCATGAGTCCCAAATGAATGGAACATTTTAAAACTTTGCTTTAACAGGGTTCATAACTGAAACACTGATGTCACATTTCGGCTGTAACAGCATGAACGGGCCTGACATAGTAAGTTCTCATTCAGTGACACATGAACCTTGATAATATCTGACCTACTACTTATTCACAGCAAGACACGACATTGTAAGAGTCATGGCCACACAGAAGTCACACAAATAAAACAACTCTGAAGACTGGATTTTCCCTGAGCCACCACCATTCACGTCATTCATCTTCTTTTAGCTCTTGCCAACTGAAATGCATGACTATTTACAGTGGTGGAAAGAGAAAAGCCCTCCTGCTGGGCCATATATTCCTGTAGTGTTGTAATCTGTCTTCAAACTGCTAAACCAATTCACACTCACTCTTGTCTCTTCTCTCACTTAGCAGCTACATAAAAAAGTGTTTAGTCAGTTAGTAACATCCCTCTGAAGACTTGTGTCTGCTCTCCTAAAATTTACATGTTTCCTTTTAAAAAGCGTGAAGATGACCATCAGTGGATGTACCAACACAGAGACATCTTGCTGTGCCTGAATCAACCAGACTGAAACATTTTCACAGCCTTGTATGAGCAAAGAAACGTAGTTCTTTCACAGTCCATTTTATGAAAGTGGATCGCTTAAGGTACAGAAGGGGCAAGTTCAGTCAATTTGAAAGCAGCTTCTGATTTTTGATATCATGTTACTAACCTCTGAGCATGACTCTTAGGAAAGTTAAGTGTCCACAATTGCAAATGAAGACAATGAATGCATTTGAAACAGGCCTAACATATCTAGGTGCTTCTACCAGAATGGATGCAGTAGTTTTTCCATCATTTACACAAGAAATGCTCAGAAGAACCATTCTATGGTCTTATAGAGCACAGAAAATAGGCATCCTCAATTCTTCTTCCTGTGTCTTATCTTCAGAAGTATCCTATTTCTATTTCAATGATCCCTTCAAGGCCTGTAAGAATCTGTCTGAAGCACTATCTACTCCAATCCATCTATTGCAGTAACAATCCTAGAATCAATGCTGTTTACTAAAAATATTTCACTGTTAACCCTTTCAACAAAATATTTCACCATTAACTCTTTCAACACACATTTTGACTGTATATTCAAGAGCTGAAGGACATTAATTGGCCCTGTCTACCTCTAGCAAGATACGAACTGTAGCAAACAGACACTGATCTTGGGACGCCGTACTAATTTATCTCCAGGAAAATAAGATACCAGATATGCAGATTTCCTAATCCAAAACCAAGTACCATAGAACATGGCCACTTAATTTTGAAGCCTTAGGGCAGAATTTATTTTTATGGTATGGGTCTCTGGTTACATCCTTCAATGTATGTTGGATCTAATGGAGATCCTTGCTGCTATGGTCTTGGAAATTAAGAGAGTGAAAAGACAATGTATAATCATTGACACTATGAATAATAGTTCTTACGAAGTTTAATTAGGATCACGGGTAATATGAATAGTGTAGAAGTAGTTCATAACACTGAGTCTAGGGGAAGAGCTATTCATGCTGTGGAACTACAGCCAGGGAATTCAGGAGCTTTTGTCTCTGTTTTCATTTTTGCCATGCTCTTTTGCACCATTCTCAATTGTTTTTACCTAAATGGACTGCCCTTAATGGAAGGCCTTCTGATTTCAGTTTGTGAGCAAAATCATTTGGATTCTGACAGAATTTATTACTTTTATGAAACAAAACATGTCCTGGAGAGTTTTGGGGACATTTCTCTTTAGGCTTCATACATGCTTGAGGCACAGATCATTGCAAGGAAATTAAAAAACATCTTCCACCATCTCTATGGCACTATCTAGCCAGCATACAACTAATACGCAGATCAATTCTCTTTTCTTGTGCACAGACATGTACCAGATCCTCACAAGGAAACTGTTAGATCCATACTGAAGAAGTCTTTCCCTGATACTTGAAAGACAACTAATCATCATGTCTGACCTCACATATTCTCCTTTGCAGATATATTAAGAAAAGGGAAAAAATGTATTACTGACCAAATTTGCAGCTTCCTAAGTCTTATACACAAACTCTTTCTACAAAGAAAGAAAGGAAGATACCTGTTTGCTTTTCTTCTTCTGAGAATTGTAGAAACTGTAAAAAAACCTAAATTATTGAAATACTGTTCTTCATAAGAATCTAGTAAGTGATTTTCCATCATTATAATATTACATTTCTTTTTCCTTTCCAGTCTGTGTTTGTTATGCATATCTGGTCATTATGGAAGATAAAAAGATTGTATAGGTGTCAAGATCATGACACATAACTCTGCAAGTGTTTGAAAGGACGAACTCTAAACAATTTTCTATTCTGTGTGAAAAGAATTTTGCAACCTTTTTTTCTGGATAGAGAATGCTTCATACTGAAGCATATGTTATTCTCAAATATCATTAGACGTGTCCAATCACTGACATTTAAATGGACTATAATTAAGCCAATACTGAAATTATTTTAATTATTTTTATCATCAGTAACAGCATTATGATGTAATGCAAGGAACCAGATGCATATGACATGTTTCATAAAAGACAACGGTTTGTGTCTTTGCAGTACCAACAAATGGATTGAGTGCAGGA